CCGGCTGTAGAGCTAAATCATGCCCGTCGTGACAGTGCGGTGCGCTTGGCTGTGGCTCGAATCCATCGAAGATCAAGTCCCCGCGGATGTCAGCCATGAAGTTCAAACTTCCAAATCTGACCTGACGGCCAGGGGCGTAGCTTTCGATCTGCTCCAGATGGCCAAGCTAGTTGGCCCGCAGTGCAAAGCCGCCGAATACGAAGATCTGTCCGGGGAGGAAGGTCTCACCCTGGACTGCGTCGTTGTTGATGATCGAAGAAGCCATCGAGCCTATCGGTGACGACACAGAGGAACTCTCAATGAAAGCACCAATGTCGGTGTCAAAACCGGCGGGTCTTGGGTAGGGGGTCCCAAATTGTGCGTCTAGGCGGATGGTAACAGGAGACAAGGGACACGATGTTTTACCCAGGTTCGGGCCCTCTTGATGGAGGTAAAACCCTACGTCCTCCTTGATTAATATTGATGATGTATGTTACAAGAGTAGATCTACCACGAGATCAAGGAGGCTAAACCCTAGAAGCTAGCCTATGGTATGATTGTTGTTCGTCCTACGGACTAAAGCCATCCGGTTTATATAGACACCGGAGAGGGCTAGGGTTACACAGAGTCGGTTACAATGGTAGGAGATCTACATATCCGTATCGCCAAGCTTGCCTTCCACGCCAAGGAAAGTCCCATCCGGACACGGAACGAAGTCTTCAATCTTGTATCTTCACAGTCTTGGAGTCCGGCCGATGATGATAGTTCAGCTATCCGGACACCTCCTAGTCCAGGACTCCCTCACCCACGCAATCCCGTGATAAGGGGGGACACGATCTCTGCTTCGACAAGACGTGCCAGTAAAACCGCCTCGCAGCATGTGTAGTGGCTAGTTATGAAAACGGTTCGAATAAAGGCCAAACCGTGGCGTCATGAAAAGCTGTCAGCAGATTAGATTTGTGGAATATTATACTCTCTACGGTGGTATGTGGAATTTGTTTTGAAGAGCCGGACATGATCCTTGTGTTCTAAATATTCTATGAAGTATTCGGAGAAGGAACCCGCATTGCAATGCCGAAGACAATATGCGCGCCGGACTCATCGTCATTGAAGCCTGGTTCAGGGGCTACTGAGGGAGTCCTGGATTAAGCGGTCCTCGGACAGCCGGACTATATACTTTGGTCGGACTGTTGGACTATGAAGATACAAGATTGAAGACTTCGTCCCGTGTCCGGATGGGACTCTCCTTTGCGTGGAAGGAAAGCTTGGATATTCGGATATGTAGATTTCCTTCTCTATAACCGACTCTGTGTAACCCTAGCCCCCTCCGGTGTCTATATAAACCGGAGGGTTTAGTCCGTAGGACAACAACAATCATAATCATAGGCTAGCTTCTAGGGTTTGGCCTCTACGATCTCGTGGTAGATCAACTCTTGTAATACTCATATCATCAAGATCAATCAAGCAGGAAGTAGGGTATTACCTCCATCGAGAGGGCCCGAACCTGGGTAAAACATCCCGTCCCCTGCCTCCTGTTACCATTAGCCTTAGACGCACAGTTCGGGACCCCCTACTTGAGATCCGCTGGTTTTGACACCGACAGCCGGGGACAAGCCTCCTTTTCCAAAAAAATCTTTATCTCAATTGGAAAATCCAATGTGATGGGATTCTAACATTTCTTGTTCAAAAGGAAGACTTCATACATACACAAATAAAATATTTAATGGATATATCAGTGGTTGGTGCTCCAAGACAAGATGCACTCATTCGCCACCCAGTTAAGGCATCTCCAATGGCAACCCGCAGATTTTCTTACGCACCCATTCGCGGACAAGGGGGTACCAATCCGCGGGCACAAATGTGGGAGGACGACATCCAATGCTAGCCGCATACATTTTGACAACAATTCGAACCAACCGGACCAAATTCGTGCAAACACGGTCGGATTTCATACAAACCAAACGAAAATGTTTACATTTTGCACATATTTAACTAAAAAGGTAAAATTATATGCATGTACGGGTGCGCGGAGCTCCACTCTCACGACACGGTTACTACACTAGTCTACGGCCGACCACGACGGATTCATTTGTCTTGGCCATGTCCGGCAGCCCGATCACCGGACTGTCGTGAGCCCCGGATGCATGTGCTTTAGCGCAATGGACGGCTCACATCCCCACCTCTCATTGTAGTGGATCCGTGTCTAATGCTTCAAGGGGAGGGGAAGGGGTCTCCTCTGCTTCTATGGCGCTAATCCAGGATCGATGATCGTCCTCGCAAAAGAAGAACCGGGCAAGACACCGGTTGTGTACGTCGGCGTTACCTCAGCGGTGGCCTTCATGGGACTCAAGCGGCGGTGGCCTCCCGTGTTCTACTTCTCCTCGATGATGAAAGCAAACACGGAGGCGCTGCCCACCAACTCGTCACTCTCCGTGCACTCGGCATCTGTCTCTTCCTGCATGGCGCGCCTGCAAGAACGAAGAGCGCGGTCGCTGCCGTGCTCCCCGTCGTGCCGGTGTGGAGCAACTCGCCAACTTCTCATCGAGCTCAGTTGGAGCGGCGAGTTGTTGAACCATGCACCATGTTGGAGCGGCAACTAGCTCCATCGGCTAGGCAAGGGAGGTGGAGCACTGAGTTGTCTTGCTCGTGCTTGTATCTAGCGGTCTCGGCGAGTCGCCGAGCCGACTTGTATGCCGGAGAACTGCTCTTTGGAAGCCATCAGAAGAGTGGAGAAAACTGTAAAGGAGGAGATGGGGGAGCGGCGATGTGATTCTTACCTGGCGTCTGGCCTTGATTAAATAGAGGGTGGACGGGAGGAGCTAGGACAGCTTGCCTTTACTGTCGGTCCACTCATGAACGAAAGTGTGGTTGGAGTAGGTTTCTCGAATTTCTTGCTGGTTTAATGGAGGCATTTAAATTCGGCATGGAGTCGTGCTTCAATGGCGGAGGCAATGAGAGGTCGCGTCCGCCCTGAGCCACCTTCAATGTAGAGCGGCACGCTCTACAACGGCACGCTCTATAACAGCATGAACGCGGGCAGCTGGCGCCGGGCGGGAAGCGGCGTGGAAGATGGGAGGGTCTTTTGGAGGGCGAGGTCCGTCAGAATCGGGAGAAGTAGCTGTCCGGACTCCTGCAAAACTCCTCCATGTTTGTCTTCGGTTTGCAGGATAAATCGCATCTGGAACGCGTCGCAGACCGATACATAATCACATGGGATGGCTTTCATAGTCCGGACGGTTGCAGGAGGTTTAGGGGTCCACCTTGGAGATACGCTTAATGCCCTTGTGTATCTCTTGGCCGATGTGATGGAATCACCAATAATTGATACTACTCTCAAAAGGAGTAGTAGTTATCTGATGTGTGAGCATCTACAGTCAAACTTGGTAAATCCGGTTTCTCAAAGGCCTGCAAATGCGACCCGGCGCGTTTGATGGTACTGACTGGTCACATCTCATAATTGATGCTATGCATCTGAGTACCTGATATTTCATCCCCTAATCCATACAGACCATTCGAAGGAAATCCTACGTATAAGGTTAGCCTAGTATGCTTCATCGTCAGAGATGTCCACGACGTCCGTGCCGACGCCAGGTAGATGAGCACATAGGAGGGCTCCGGTTAATCCTCCTCATCCATATATGCAAGCATCTCGTCATTGTCCACAGCATGCTCCACCTTCGCCTCCCGCAGATGACGACGGTTGGCTCCGCCTTTGATTCCGACCTAAGAGAATCGAGTATCGCCTGCTGCTTCGCTTGCAGGTCCTCGCCCCACATCCTCCTCTTGCTCCTGCTCCGTGTCCTACTCGTCCTCCTCCTCCTTGTCCTCTTCATCCTCCTATGGATCCACCACACCGGAGGTAGCCCCGCGGCGATCCGGGCTTCACGTCTTGCCCGTATCTGCTCAAGGATCTATAGTCGGCGCTTCGGCGTTAGATATGGGTAGCTCCTTACCCATCGACGTGGTGGCATGGATACTAGTGGTGGTGGACGGTGAGTTAAAAGTGGCGACGGAGGTGGACGGGAGGGGTAATTGTGGACGGGTAGGGTTTTCTTGTCGGCGGTCCGCTTAAATTGCCGTGCTAGGGCACTACGCGGCCCGCCAGAGCGGCACAATCGGTCCAATGGAGGAGATGAGCTTCGGACCCCCGGTTTTCAGAGTGTTTTGCTGCGGGACCCCATCATCAGTCAGACATGGCGAACGCGCCCTGGTCTCCCCATATTCGCCCCACATTTGAGCTAGATATGAGTTGTGCTGGTAAGCTCGGGGGTTTGAGACCCGTTTGAGGCGCCCGTCTGGGTCAGTTTTTTTTGACTGGTCACTCACCGGGCCGTCCACCTGGGCAATAGAAGGGGGTATGGGGTGCCCGACTGTAGATGCTATGAAAGAATCAAAGGAAAATATTTCCAAAAAGAAAACAAATGAGAAGGTGAGGCGGCAGCCATATACATCCGACTACCAGAGCATGCTGTTCGAACTTTGAGTCTTCTGACAAGTGGCAGGGCTCTTCTCATTGGTCTGGTTTTGACAAGTCGTTGGATATGTCGGAGTACTTAATGCAGCAGGAGCAGCGACTTACTACATGCCTAGTTGCTATTCTGGGCCTTTATAGAAAACCTAAATTTTCCACGTGAGGTCGGTTGTGTGTGTTGGTTGCGGTATTTTCCTGGAAGCAACCATTAGTGCCGAGTGGAGTGAGGTCAACTCAACGGCATGAAGTTTATGCTGAAGTTTTAATTACCAGAGCCCCGGCTGAACAAACTACATAACTAAAACAAAGTTAAAATTTCACGATGGTACTAAAATGCAAAACGGTAAAACTAAAAAATTGCAAGTGCACAAACTAGATAAGCATGTACATCCATGATTCTTTTTTGCCGGTTTTTTCGTGAGAGTAGTATTTTGCCGAGGTGCTTGTGGCCGCCGTGTATATAACAAGGGAGGGCGTGCTAGTGCAGCCCATTCAAACCTAGCTAGTTCCATCACCATAACCCATAGAGGATTAGAGGTAGTAGAGCACAATGAGCACCACGCCCAGCTCGCAGTTGCGTTTGCAGCTGCTGCAACTGCTGCTTTTGCCAGTAATAATCCTACTAGTCATCCTTGCCGCCGCCGCTGAAGAGCGGCTGCCAATGGGACTTCCGGACTGCCCCGACATGTGCGGCAACATCAGCATCCCCTTCCCATTCGGCATCGGGTACGGCTGCTTCCGTGATGGCTTCGAGGTCCTGTGCAACCACACCCCCGAAGGCCATCGCGCCTTCCTTGCTGACAAGAGAATAGTCAAGCGCACGGGCGAGGGCTATGAGTCGGAGTCGGCTAATCCTTCGGCTCCGCCTTCAAAGGACCTACAGTGGTCGCAGTCGCCGCTAGAGCTGGTGAGCATATCACTCGCCACCGGTGAGGTGCGAGCGTACGCAGCGATCGCTTACCGCTGCAGGAGAGATGACAACCGGACCTTCTGCGTGGAACAAGATTTGATGTTCGCCCGTACGCTTTTCGACTTGTCGATTAAAGGTACTCCCTCCGTTCACTTTTGTAAGACCGTTTAGACATTTAAGACAACACCCAAAACAGTTCAATTTAAGCTGTCTAAAACGTCTTATAAAAGTGAACAGAGGGAGTAATATTCTTATAGGTGTTGGCTGGAGTGTCGAGCCTTTGCTGGACAGTAATACTGGTTCGGCGGACCACTTATCTTGCAAGGCACAAGATATGTTTCCACCTGCGGTTAATGGGTCCTGCGAGGGGTATGGCTGCTGCGACATGCCCTTCCCGCCGGGCGAGTATCGCCCCGGCAAGGCTTTCGGATGGCTTGTCGCGCGAGAAAACCTCATGCCGCACAGCTACGACTTGGAAACCAAGCCGTGCTCCTACGCCATGCTGGTGGAGAAGTCATGGTACAACTTCTCCACGCCCGACTTGTACGGCAACATGACGCTACTCAAAAAGAACCCCCGGGGCGTTACCCTCGTGCTTGATTTTGCCGCCGGGAACACTTCTTGTCCGGCGGAAGGTCAACCGCGGCCTCCCGGCTACGCTTGCGTCAGCGGCAACAGCTCTTGTGTCAACGCAATAGTTGCTCCTGGCTATATCTGCAGGTGTTGGGACCATTACGCTGGCAACCCTTACATCACTCACGGATGCCAAGGTACATACTCCTACGTGCCACTACTCTCTTTTTTGCGAATTATAGACATACCTTCAATTAATTGTCACTCTTAAAAATTCTTTAATTAACTTAGAAAAGTGTTGGTTCTTCCTTCAGACATTGATGAGTGCAAGCTCCCCGATATCTGTGCAAATGGCGGGGTCTGCAAAAACAAGCCAGGAGGCTATGACTGCCCATGCAGGATGGGAATGAAAAACGGTGGCGAACGGGGAAACTGAGCGAGGGCTTTTGGTGCTCGGCCTACAGGCAAGCCGGAATCTGGTCCGTCTGCTTGGGCCTGGAGATTCGAAACCCGTCAGTTCGTGGCAGCGCTCTGGCAGGCCTAGTGGGGCAAATACGGTCCGTGATACGCCTATTGGCCGCGTAGCCGTATTGTGTTCGGCCCATCCCCTGCAACTGTTCCCGGGCCTGGAAAGACTCCGTGGCCTGCACCAAAAATCTGGGACATCTTTCGTGGTTCGAAACGGCACAGGTGAAAGAATCCCATGCGCCTACATTACCCCACCCCCCACTCCTGGACAGCTTTCCCCTCCCCATCCCCTTCTCTTCCACAGACCCGGAGTGCGGCGGCTCTGCTCCGGCGATCTGTCCATCGACGGCCTCGAGATCGATGGGTATGTGTATTTCGCTTGGGTGCTTTCTTCTTCAATCTCTTGTTTGTAGAATCAGCGGTGTGGATTTGAAAACTTCTTACTCACTTGGCTAGATTTGATTCGAACAGGGGCCTTGCCGTGCCGGCTGGATGGAGTGGTTCTGTCCTCCAAGTGGAGTCCCAGGATTCCATGGGTGCAGCAGATGCGGCCGACAAAGCACAGGCAGACGGAGGTGCGGCCATATAGGAGGTGTGTTCTGAAGCTACGAGTGGCTGGACACGAAGGTTAGTGAAAAGAAGAAGCTGTAGTTTCTTCTTCGTGATTTTGCAGCACAAAGCAAGTTTTGCATCGTATGTGTATTGTTTACTTGACTTTGGCTAGCTAGCATATAAGTTGTTCCCGGAAACGAGTTTGTCACGTAGCATGCAGTTTAGTTGCAGTTCTTTTTTTGTGTGGAGATGTGTAGAGATGTCAGTCTGATTTTTTGGATTAAAAAGCTAGATATTTCTGTGGTACATTTATCATGGAGTGAGCCATTTGAGTAATGAATTTTGGGGAATCGATGATTTTTTGATTCAAATTCTGGCTGCAGTGAAAAAACTAAAAATTTGGATTTTGCTCTGTGTCACGTGATTATAGGTACATGATTATAGGTACGGTGCTAAATTGGATTTGTCAGTGTATGTACGTTCTGGGACATGACCAAAATGGGGTCGAGTTTGATCTCTGATTTAGTTTCTAGGATTCTTAGAACATGGCCAAAGTTTTATTCAGTACATGATCAAATTGGATTCGTCTGATTAAAAGGGATTCACATGAGTTTTAAGTAGGTGTGATTAAGTAGTAGCGGTTTTTGTTTTTGATGATCTTCGATTCACTGGAAAGTGGGTGGGTGCTTTTTGATTCGTAGGTGGGTCGTTTCAGAGTACAAATGAGTTTGAATGTACACATGATTTTATTCAGTATTAGTATATTTGTAGTAAAAATCTGAACAAACTGGATTCAGTATCATGATTCTGCTGTGTTTGTCTTTGTTTGATTACTTACTGGATGGTTCGCTCGAGAATTTCTTAGAGGCAAACAGATTGAGCTTAGGCTGTTGTTTTCGTCAGTTGGCATGTTTTTTAGCTGGGTCTGCTATCAGCCCGAACTATAAGCAGAATGTTTGCACCATGTAAAAATTGCTTGTCATGCCCTATGTTCAATTCGCAGATCGTCCTGACAACTTTTTGTTTATAATCTGTTCTGCCAAGCCACCGTTTCAGGGATAGGATGGGGAAAGCTCCTGACGAGAGGGAGATGAAGCCTGACAAGAAAACAGCACTGGAATTGTCTGTGAGCGCTTATGCTGAGAAAGGAGCTGGTCATGTTGTCAATCCAGCAATGGGCACATCTTTTGACTCGTTAGATGAGGCTTATGAGTTCTACAACCTTTATTCCTGGGAATGTGGTTTTGGAGTTCGGCTATGTTGCTCGGAAAAGGTGCATGCAAGAGATTGTTTGTGATTGTGCGGTAGGTGATCGCAAAGTGCATTATGTTTGATGCCATAATGTTTGATGGACTGTTTGAGCCTAACTTCCTCTAGATTAAATTAGTTGTGACTTGTGAGGTTTGATCGCAAAGTGCATTATGTTGCCAGGAAAGGAATGCTAGGATCTTTGAACACACCGCCAGTATCGTCGACAGAGTTTTGGACCAGATTAGAGAAGATCTTCAAGTCTGGAGGGCAGCGGGGTGTGTTTTGGATCTTACTTTGTAAAAGCCTCTTATAAAAGCCTCTTGTAATTGGGGTGTTCTATCCTGGGGGTGGCGCCCTCGGGAGGTCTTTCAGTGCGAGACCGCCTAGCCTGTCTGACCTTGTTGTACTCTTCTCCTCTTTCTAATAAAATTCGGCCAACGGCCCTTCGAGGTTTGATGCCATCATGTTTCCATGTGTTTGTATGCTGGTTTAGTTTCTCGATTTGGGTTGTCAGTTTTTTTTATTTTTTTTGCGAGGGTCGGAATTTTCATTTGTGCTACCAACAGTAATTCTCTTGATGTGTGTTAAATTTGTCTGAACTGTTTGTTGTGTGTTGATGGCAGTGTTGTTGTTTAGTCTACTGGAAGAACAGTGTTATTACTGGTGGGATGAGTGTTATTTTACTTCTGTATTGGGCTTTGAGTTTGTCATTGGCAAATGATAGCTTGCATCACCGTGCATAGAGGAGAAGCCCGCAAGGTTTGAAAAAAGAAGAGACCGGCTGATGCAATCTCGTTTGCTAGACTTAGTTGTGCTAACCGCATCTCAAAAAAAAAAAAGTTGTGCTAACCTGGAGTCATGCACTTTGACTCTACGCCACCATCTCCATTTTTAAAATCAGGGGCGTGATCACGGGTGATGAGATGATCAAGGCACTATGCACGGGCAGTTGTGGTGACGCAGATGGTGCTGTAGCTTGCTCCTTGAGTGGGTGTGGGTTGTTCCTTCTGCGGAAGAACAGAGAAACCTGCTGGCGGTCACTGAGTTGGGTGGAGGTACTCCTAGATGACAACACTCAACAGGGGATGGTTGATGTGACCGCATAGTAAATTTTCGGACGTGACAAGACGGGGGAAAATGAAGCACAGGAGCGGGCCGTCTTAGTGAATGCGAAGTGGCTGGTACAAAACAACCATTATACATGACCATGCCGACGTGGTATGATTAATTAGTACTAAAACTGCTTAATGTATCGCATTCACTATTACCCCGCCCATATATCATACCACGCGTTAGGAATTCCTAGCGTGTAAACAGGATAAAGCTAAAAGTTCGAGCTTAGTGCAATGGATTTTAAACACAACGACGATGCAAACGTGGTGTATTTCATGTTCAAAACGGCCACACGAGTTGACGTGTACCAAATTAAACCTGCTTACTTAGTGGACAGCTAATGGTCATCAAAACATAGGTGTTCGCTGGCCCATAATGCGTCATATGCACGTCTGCTGCTACGTGCTTTTGCATGTACATTAGCTGTACTGACATACATCAGCGACAACAAAAATAAGCCAGTGGTAATGATGAAGCATTGACGTCAAAAAATTATGTTCATTAAAATGATTGTAATTTATAAAATGCTAATGTGTTCATGAAACCGTCAAAACATGAGTACTTCCTTCGTAAACTAACACAAAATCGTTTAGATTACTGTCTAGACATGTTAATTTCGTTGCCAGTAATTATCAACATGGAGCCTAGTAGCCTACCGGTCCGAGTTCGACCACGTGTGCTTCTAACTTCTGGTCCGAATTCATCCATAGCTGCGTGCATGTCTGTGACGATGTGAGGGCATAGTAAATTCGCAGATATGACAAGACGGGATTAAGTGAACCGGACTGCGCAGCGCAAAGCTGCTCCACCCGAGCGCGCGCCCGTGTAATGTGAGCTCGCTAATGCCAAACGTACAATGGACATGACCCTGCCGCTGTGGCGTGATAAGTCGAAACTAAACGCGTGTTTAAAAACTGTCTGCTCTATCAAATGCTTCATTAACAAGCTCATGTAAGCTGTGTCGGTTTACTGGCGTGCCAGACAGTTAAAATCGATTCCCAGATTAGTTGTAATACTAGTTTTTAAACACAAAACAGTCTTAACCTTAGCGCGTTTTGTTAGTGCAGCCGGAGAGATCACATTAACATGAAGCAGTCTAACCTAGCTTAATGAAGGATGGCCAATGCTCCACGTCCGCGCTTGAAGAACTGGTGGCCTCCGCTGGCCACCAATGCTGCACGCCATGCATGCACCACGACGTACAGGTCTCCGCGGACTACGCCCGCAGCAGGACGTACAGGTCTGTGCTCGCCATGCTGTGCATACATGTCAGGGGCCAAACGCGAAGCCTAATGCCTTTGCACGTGGATGGGACCTTCCTGGCTCAGTACAACACAAAAATAAATCGAATACAGGGCAAATACTCTGGCAGCACATATCCCCGTGGTGCTGCAACGGCCGAGATAGCGGCCTGCCTGATGCTCGGCCTCCATTTGCATTTTCCGGTACATCAATTCACTACAGCAGCAAAGGCGACTGTGGGTAAGCACTACTAAGCTACTACTACACTGCACTCGCGTGTTTCTTTTTGGTCAGGGTGAGATATATACTATGTTCCCGTAGCATCAATTAGCACCAGCCTATTGGGTGCCACCATGCAAACCCTCTCCTGTTGCCAGTCAAAATTATAAACATAGAAACACATGCACGCATGACATAGCAACTTGCTGTACATCACCTTGATACTAATGAATTTTAGGATGGAACGGGTTAGATTTGAAGGCAAAGCAATTTATGTTTGACCTCAGAACTTTTTCTACACAGAAGATACACCATTACATGTCCTGTATCAAACATTGGCATTTTTGGGGGTTCCTTTACTATATATTTAAGTCATTTAGTGCATTTCTAGGCATTTAGTCAATATAAATTATATTTGAACTACAAATGCATGGAAAAATTGACAAAAATAGGGTTGAAAATATATTTTCTGTTCTTTACTGTATGTTTAGGCCTTACCCAAGAAAAGGAAAAGAATTGCAACTCAAGGCACCAAAAATGGAATTATATTCCCCAAACGTTGATTTTATTGGTTTTTCTAATTCTAAAAAA